TTCAGATTTTGAAGCCCCTTCCTCCACAACATTTGTCTGCTACAAGTTAATCAAACACATCAAACATAAAAACATTCTGGTCAGCTCAATCCAAGATATTCTGATCAAATGTTGAACAGTCAGATCATCCAAAATAAACATGAAAAAATCCAACTCATTCTTACCCTCTTTTCACCTGAAAGGTCTTGAACAGCTTCTTGAAGGGCCCCATTTGCCTACACATCAATTAGCCATGTGAGCATTATTATCAAAAAAATATGCAGCATAATATAACCTACTTGTGGAGCCCCTTCACCATTTCCTACACCCATTGGCATTAGCAGAAATTCCCTGTTCCCTTGGGTACCAACAAATTGAACCACCTGTTGCAAATCAAAACAATCAGCCCATGATTCTTTATCTTGGGCATCAGCAAAAAAAAATTACCATGTCTGCAGGTCCAGACTAAACTACAAGAAAATCCCAAACCTGATTCTGGGGTTGGCAGATTAAACTACAAGAAAGCCTTAAATAGTGAGGCAGGTTGGGGAACAGCAGCAACAGAACTAGCAGCTTACAGTTGGATTATGTTAGCAGTCAAGCTCCAGAGGATCAGAATTCCAGGAATTGTAGAATTTTGATGAATAAGTTGGCCTAGTCAAGGGAGGTTATTTCTCAGGTTTGGGGTTGGGATTAGGAATGGGGAATCAGAAAAATTAGACAGAAGCCAAGTTGTGGTTGCCACCCATGCATATCCAATGTGTATATGCATGTGTAATTCAATTTGATTTAATACTTGCTCCTGCAAACTGCCAGAAGAGCCACACATTGTACCCAGCACCCAAGTGAAGGAATTCTTTGTGAAATGTTCATCTTAGTTAGACCATCTCCACCGCGGCTGCTAAACCCAATATAGCAGTGCAAACTCGATTTAGCAGCTCCACCAGGGCTGCTAAACACTCAAATCTTTTAGGAACTCACCTCTCGGCTGCTATCCCCATACCAAATACCGGTTAGAGATCACCAGAGAAGTGTCCCTCACCAGTGTACAATCCCTATGGAAAGGTGCCGGTCACCGGATAGTGTAGTCTCTCCTTGGTCGGTACCGGCTGGTCACTATAGAGAAAGAAGTAATAATGGCCAATAAGGAGTGCAGTCTATGCTGCCCGGGGGGGAACTTTCACATTCCCCAGTTGCTATTATAGCAACTTCCGGTGCAAAAACAACTTGACGCAAGCTGCTAAAAATGCGC